GGAGGACACCAAAACCCAGGGTAGTCTCTGTCACAGCCTTGCATCCAAGCAAACCTGGCTGGTGTGGTGTGCTTGTGCGGCTGGGACTGTGTGTCCTCTCTGGGTGCAACTGCGGGTCATTTCTGGGAGGACAGAGGCACAGGTCGCTGTCCCACACAGACAACCTGTGCTCTAGCCTGCAGGAGTGAGTTGGGTTGGGGTAAGAGCAAGTGAGTGAGGGTGATAGGGGCTGTAAAATGAGACAGCAGGTGTCCTGTCCAGCAGAGACAGGCACCAGAGAGATCCAAGTACCGGTGCTGCCCGGTCAGCCAAGGTTTGGGGAGAAAACTGATGTATGAGTTTGATAGGGCTGCTACAACAAAGCACCACAACTTGTGTGGCTTAAAAACCAGAAAGCAGCCAGATGAGATGGTGCACAGCTGTAAACCCAGCACTCGGGAGACTGGGGCAGGAGGCCAGCATGGGCTCCCTAGTAAGTTCAAGGCCAGCCTGAACTACGAAGTGAGACCTTATCTCAAGAAACTATACAACACAAAAAGAAATGAAAAACAAACCCCAAATGTATTGTCTTGCAGCTTTGGAGGCCTGAAGTTCAAAACCACGATGTTGGCCACGTTGTGTCCTGTGCGGACTGGGGGCGTCTGTGCCAGGGCTGAGAGAGCCATCCTTGTGTCCCTGTGGCATCCATCTGAGTGTCTGTCCAGATTTCCCCTTTCCTCAAGGGTACCAGTCTCACTGGACTAAGGCCAGACATAAAGGCCCTATTCTAGCTTGGTTACCCAGGTAAAGACCTCATCTCCAAACAAGGTCAGATTCTAAGGTAATGTGGGTTAGGACTTCAACACGTGAATAACCAACACCCAGCAGCAAGAATTGGGGTGTGTGTGAAATATCCTGATGTTTTTGGTTGTATTTATTTCCAGGCAGAGTAAAGCTGTGTTCTCAGTACTCAGTGTCTCTTGAGTGGGGGTGGGGCTTGGTTCAAGCTGATACTGGATATAGGGATCTTGTGACCCAGAAGCAGCAAAGATGAGACCAGGCTAAATATTACAACACACACACACTCCTGCCCAGGCAAAGCTCCTTGGCAGAGAGGGGAGAGCAGAGGGCTTCCGCTGCACTGGGGCTTTGACTAAAAGGTCCAGATAGTGACCAAGCTGCTGCTCCCAGAGCAAAGAGAAAAGTAGGTTTCCATTGACTTCCTGAGGTGAGCTAAAACCAATCCCCATTGGCCAGGGCTGGCAGTTCTGATACAATGTTTCTTCTTGTGATGGGTTTGGACCCAGGTGGTTACTGTCCACTGTGGAATTTCCTTATCTGGCCTCATCAGGCTTTGCAAGACCTCCCAGCCTTGACCTTGCCTGCTCACACATGGTCTACTTTGCTCAGTGGCTACCCGAATTCCTGGGCTTTGTGCTAGAGTCGCCCGACTTTCGGGACTTGGGCTGCTGAGAAAGCACGAGACTGGGCTGGGAGAAACACAGAGCGGCTCCCACAGGTGGGAGGCCAAGCTGACCCTGCACCACAGTTTTGGATGACACATTTCTTAAATGATCAACAGGTCTCTGCAGAGCTTCATAAGCTCTGACGCCAAGATTAAGACAGCAAAGGGGACATCCTCACTAGGAAGACGGAGAGGCCAAGCCCTTGATCCCACTGTAGTCGCCCATCAGACACCTGTAGGCCCGAGTGAAGGGTCGGTGTTCTCAGCAGAAGCAGCTGTGAAGTAACCCAGGCCCTGTTAGCATAACCCACACAGCCAAGCCAGTGAAGCTAATAATGGATCGTCCGGCAGCACGACCTCTGAAATTGGTGATCGTAAATTGACTGAGAGCAAGAGAAGCTAGAGGTGTTATTTAGGTTCTTTTTCTTGGTAAAGAATTTCTTATTCCATACAAACATCCTGTGCCACGCAACAAGGGTGATAGTTGGCTGCACCCAGGGGCTTATTTCATTGCCTTGGCCCTCTGTCCTGCTGCTGCCCCACCATGGCGGTCCCTCACTACCTCACAACCCAGAGGCACTTGCTGTTTTCATGCAGGCCTGGCAGTTCCACACCAAGAATCCTGAAAGTATGGCCCTGGCCAGCAGCTGCAGCACTTTGGAAGGGTGTTAGAAATGCAAGCTCTGGTCCCCAGTCCACACCTGCTGAATGAGGATCTTCGGTGTACGAGACCCTGATATCTGTGCCAGCCCCCAGATCAGGTGTGGTGATGCAGGTCTGTAATCCCAGCACTTGAGAGGTTGAGACAGGAAGATCACTATGAGTCTGAACTGCATAGAGAAACTCTGGATCAAAAGAATAAAAGAGGGGTCCTGGGAGATGGCTCAGTAGAATAAGCACTTCCCTGGCAAGTGCAAGGGCCTGAGTTCAATCCCCAGTTCTGCAAAAAAAAAAAAAAAAGAATAATTAAAAAAACCCCACAAAAATCTGCACTTTCCTGGGCCCTTCAGAAGACACCCCCTGATGCACTCAAACTTGATTGCTTATGCCTCACAACTCCTCACATCTTCAGTCTCCACCCAGGAAACCCAGATCATCTACGTACCCATCAGTAGCAATCCCAGAGTCTAACAGAAAGGGCCTTTCACAGAGTTGAGCAAACCAGGAAACTGGATGGTAGGGTGGCCCAAAATTCCCAAGTTCAGAGGCCAGGGAGTTGGCTCAATGGAATAAGCGCTTCCCTGGCAAGGGCAAGGGCCTGAGTTCAATCCCTGGTTCCACAAAACAAACAAAAAAAATATTCCCAAATTCCCACATAGGCTTGCTGGTTTTCATGGGGCCTTGGGCTTCCTATGCAGGAAGTGGGGGGGCATTATTTGCCACTCCCATTCTTGCTTTGGGGTATCAAGTATCAGAGTGTTGATGTATGGGGGAGGGGGAAGGGACTTTTGAGGGAAGGTGTAAGGGGCAGAGTTCATCATGACTTTCCAAATGTTTTCTGGTAAGCCTAGGGGAAGGAAAAGATGGCTATTTTAGCATTAAAATCGGGGTGGGCAGAGCTTCCCTGCTCTGGAGGGGTCTTCTCTCCGGGGTACCAGGTGTGCTTTTTATTCTGGGTCAGCTGCATGGGTGTGGTGATCAGCACCTTCCATTTGAGTATCCTGTTGGGTTAAGCAAACTAGGCCTACTGTGAGAAGTCAGTGAAGCTGAAATTATAAGGCTACACAAAATAGGTTTACAACAGGCTCTGGAGAACCCTCCATGTCATCACCTCCTTCCAGAGCACCAGCCTTTCTGAGGCAGAAGGCAGAAGCTGCTAGTGTGTGGAGCTGATCTGGCTTCTAGTTGGGATTCTTGAGGCTTGCAGGTTAATTAAAAAAAAAAAAAAGTTCTTACCCGAGATTGGTGGTCTCTGCATTCTGGGAGGATAAGCCTAGCCTAGCAACCTTGCAGGATCCTATCTCAAAATAAAAACTAAAAAGAGTTGGGATTGGAGCTCACTGTGAAAGCCCCAGTCTGGCAAAAAACAAACAAACTGGGTTCTTTTAATCAATTGCCAATATAGTATTTTAGAAATCAGCACATTTCAGGCAGGGCGTGGAAGTGCACACCTGTAATCCCAGCACTCGGTAGGCTGAGGCAAGAGGCTTACCATGAGTTTGAGGCCAGCCTGGGCTGCGTAGTGAGTTCAAGGCCAACCTGAATTATATAGTAAGGCCCTGTCTCAAAACAAACAAATGAACAAACCAGGACATTTCACATAAAATAAAGCTTCTAGCTTCTCTTCACAAAGTCCGAAGTTCTCACTCCCTTTTCCTGGGGCTCCAGGCTCCTGCCTCAGTACTGTACTTAGTATCTTTTTGTTGTTAAGTACTTATTATCAAGGCTAAATGATCAGCGCTCTTTATCATCATGCAGGGACTGCTGTAATCTTATGAGCTAGGAAGGTAGTAAAATACTTGAACCGCGTCCGTCTCTGTACCAAAAGTAGGGCAATCAGAATGAGTGTGTGTAAGCAGGACCGGAGGGAGGCGAATAGCACTCCCACGTTTCCAGCGCAAACTTTATTGAGAGAATACAACTCCCGCCCCCACCCCAGGACTGGCGATTGAACCCAGGGCCTTCACACAGAGCTACATCCCCAGGTCTTTTTTTTTTTTCCATTTTGAGTCAGGGTCTTGCTGAGTTGGTGCATATCTCGGTTAGGCTCTTGCCTCTGAGAATATAACAGGAGCCTCTGAAACAAGCTAACACTCTTCCTCCCTGCACCTTCCTAGTCCCTGAGGGACGGTGATTCTCCAACTTTCTGTCTCAGGACCAATTTACTCTCTGAAAAATTATTAAGGATCTCAAAGAATTCTTGTTTAAGATTTTGTAGGTTATATCTGCAGTTCCTTAATGTATTAAAACTTGAAGAACTGGGATGTAGCTCAGTGGTAGAGCGCTTGCCTAGAACAAGCAAGGCCCTAAGTGGGATTCCTAGTGTCACAGAGAAAGAAGGGGGAGGGTGAAGCACAGGACACACAAGCACACAATACATCCACCATCAGAGCAATGACGTTACCACATCACGGAGCCTTAGAAAAACTCTACTGTGTGGTTCCTCCAGTGAAAATGGCAAATGATGTTTTAGTTTCCACCACTTGGGGAGCCCTGGAAGGAGCCCCTAGATCTTACGCAGAACCTCAGCATTAGAGTTTGTGACCCCTTTGTTAAAAAGACTCCAAGGAGGCTAGAGTTGTAGCTCAAGGATACAACTTTGCAGCTCAAGGATACAACGGCTTTGGGGCCCTGGGTTCACTCTCCTTTAGGGAAAACAAGCAAGAAACAAACTTGCCCTTTAGAAGACCCCAAGGAGAGGCAACTGTAACTTTCATTCTCTGCTGTTGCAACATAAATTCCAGGTCTTTGGAAGCAGGAGTAAAACTGAAAACAAGTTTGTTTCACCAAGTTTTAGGCAAGGTGCAGTACGCACTGATCCTGGGCATCCCACTGAACTCTGGCCCCAAGCAGGGGCCAGGATGAGGCCCTGGAGAAAGGACAACAGACACTCTAGTTTGAAATACAAAAGATCCAACCATTTTATTCCAAGACAATTGTTGGAGGATGGGAATAAATAAGGAAGGGCGAGGGTTAGGGCAGGAGGCTCTACGTCTTGCAGCACAACCCACACTTTCTGTTCTTACAGCAGTTGCAGCAGAAAACGCAGATGGGAAAGTGGGTGTCTCGCCTCCTTAGCCTCTGCAGTGTGGGCTGTGGAAAGGAAGGAAGAGTGAGTCCCTGGAAGTGGGAAGGCTGTAGGGGCCAGGGCAGGAGGCTCAATCGCTCTTACCGTGAAGCTGGCCTTGGCTTCGGCTGTGTGGTGGGGCTGGGGCTCTGCAAGCTGCCCTGTCTGAAAAAGAAGGGGTGCTGAGGATGGCAGAGCTCTCAGGCTGACCCCATCCCCTGCCCCTCTTCCAGTCCTTGAATGCATGGCCCAGCTGGACTCCTAGAAGGGACCTTGCTTTCTTGTTCTTCTCATGCTCCTTGGGCATTCTCGTTCCTAAAAACCTCACAGGCCTGTCACCCTCTCTCCTCAGTCGCTGCTCTTCTTAGAATATCTCTTCCCTGTGTGGAGGGTAATATCAACCCCTTGGAGCGTCTGCCTGCGTCTTGCATCTTGTAATCCCATCATTGTCATGTAGCAGAATGACTTTTAATTTTACCTGTCAGATCGTGGTTTCCCCCTTTAAAGCTCACAGGATGTCCCTGGCACTTTGACGATAAATTGCTGTCTGCACGTTGCACCTGCACAGCTTTGATCTCACCTAGCTGCCCTTGCTTAGCCAGCTCTCTGATCGTCCTGTGCCCTGCTTACCCACCTTGCTGCTCACTTGCTACCTCACCTGTTACTCTCCAAGGCACAGGCACAGGATCATTTTCTCACCAAACACTCTGCCCCTTGTCCCACTCTGGTCCCGCATGCCATGTTTTATGCTATTCATGAGTAGTGTTTACTGAACACAGTTGTTCCTTCCGTTTGAATCATTCATGAACTAGTGCCCTGACCAGGCTGTACACTCTGTAAGAGCAAAAATCTCTCTTCTATCCTCCCTGTCTGCAGGAAAATGTGACATAGTACAATCATGTCAAAGGTTCCTCTACATTCCTGCCAAGCCACCCCATCCCTATTCTTCCAGCAGCTGTGGGTCCCCCAGACCTGGCTTGAAACTCAGTAGTGGTCCCCACACACAGAGGTCTGGCTTTCCAACCCACCTGGAACCCAGGCCCCCCCAAGATATATATATATAT